TGAGCGGCCGCAGGGCAGCCCCCGGGATAAACATTTACAGGGCAGGAGCGGCGCTGGCAGGCGCTGCTCGCTCCGCGCTGCACCAGCGCTGAGAGCGCGGAGCTGTGGGCTTGGTGTAGGTACACTCGGTGTAGGAACTTGGTGTAGGAGTACTGCTCAGTGTAGGTACACACTCGGTGTAGGAACACATTCAGTGTAAGAACACACTTGGTGTAGGAACACACTCGGTGCACGTACACACTTGGTGTAGGAACACAGTGTAGCACTACTCAGTGCGGGTACACACTCGATGTAGGAGCACACTCGATGCACGTACACACTTGGAACACAGTGTAGGAACACAGTGTAGGAACACAGTGTATGAACACATGCGGTGTAGGAACGCAGTACAGGAACATACTCAGTGTAGGTACACACTCACTGTAGGTGCACACTCAGTGCAGGTACACACTCAGTGTAGGAACACATTCAGTATAGGAACACAGTGTAGGTGCATACTCAGTGCAGGTACACCTACTCGGTGTAGATGCACACTTGGTGTAGGAACACCGAGTTCCTACACTGAGGTACACAGTGCAGGTGCACACTCGGTGCAGGTGCACACTCGGTGCAGGCACACCTGCTCAGTGTAGGTGCACACTCGATGTAGGAACACACTCAGTGTAGGTACACAGTGCAGGTACACACTCAGTGCAGGTGCAAATTCTGTGTAGGTACACCTACTCGGTGTAGGTGCACACTCAGTGCAGGTGCAAATTCTGTGTAGGTACACCTACTCGCTGTGGGTGCACACTCAGTGTAGGTGCACACATAGTGTAGGCACACCTACTCGGTGTAGGTGCACACTCAGTGCAGGCACTCAGTCTGGAGCTGCAGATGCAATTAGCTCCGTGCAGGCTGTGATCATTAAGCAGCACTCAGGAGAAATGAGAATTAACCTCTCGACTGCAGAGATCAATCCCTCTGCCTTGCTTTATCTCCCGTCTTTTGGCTCCTGCCCGTCACTCAGTTCTGCAGTGGGCAGGATCCTGTGGTGCCCAGGGCGCTGTGGGTTTGAGGGTGGCGAGGGCACAGAGGTGCCCTGCAGTGATGGGGGGTCAGGCCAGCCCCCAGGACCCTCTGGCACAGAGAATTCCCATGCCCAGCTCTCTGCTGTGGTTTGTATTTTCACCATGAGGAATTATTTGCATTTCGGGAGCGCTTGTGGAGCAGGATTTGTTGTCCAAATAATTGTTCTCTTTTTTTGGCTTCCTCTTCTTACTTCAAATATTGTGGCTGTGGGTAGCCAAAGCTGAGAGATGAGCAAGTGATTATTTGCAGAACCACTCCAGCACCCAGAGCACGTGGGTGTGGAAGGGACAGGGAATTTTGGGCTGTTTGCTCTGGACAAATGACCTCGGCACTGCAAAGCTCAGCGGCACTGCCAGGAAACCTCAAGCCTGCAGTGGAGTCTGGGTGTTGAAGAAGTGATTTCTTTCCCCTAAGGCAACATTACTAAAACTGGTGAAATATAAACTGTGTAGTTCTGGGGGCAGCTGGAATCAAAAGAGAGAAATAGTGGAGGAGAAAATATTATGGCACCACCAAAGCCAAACCTTTCCATGATTAGAAAAAAAACAACAAGAAGAACTTTGTCATGTTAAAATGTTTTGTATTAAAAAGTTTTATAGACACGTTTAAAAATGGATCACTGAAGTCAGGAGTTGCTGTTTAAATTGGATTTTAGGATTTTACACTGGCAGAGTTGGCTCAGGTTAAACACATCTGATAAAACACACGGTGGTGACTTCATTGGAGAGAAATCAGTGACAAACATGAAATTCATCCTGCAAACAGAGCAGGCTAAAGCAAACGCTGTGCTGCTGGCTTGTACCTCGTGCCACTGCCACAGAGGAGATGACACAGAGGGGACACAGAGGGGACACAGAGGGGACACAGAGGGGACACAGAGGAGATGACACAGAGGGGACACAGAGGGAACACAGAGGGGACACAGAGGGGACACAGAGGGAACACAGAGGGGACACAACCCCAGGTGCTGCTGTGCAGCCAGCTGGAGCTCGGCCCTACATTCACTGCTTTTATCCACGTTGGCCAAACAGATTGTTTTTGTTTTTAAAGTCACGGTGGAGTGAACGTCACAAGCACAGCCTGGGTGCTGTTACAAAATCCTGCCCTGGCTGTGCTCCTGCCTGGGGCTGGGGCAGCTGCAGTTTCCACGCCAGGGCTGTCTTTGCTCTGTTCCCCAGGACAGAAAGCTGCTGGGTTGCACCAGCCC